ACTGCCGCACAAAGCAAACTTAGGGCCATGAATAACAAAAGAATAGACGCACGCAGCACTGACGCGTATCTGACGCGTCAGAGTAGACGCGTAGACGCGTTAGACGTGCGTCAAGTTTGCGTCTGCGTTGTTCGCTTTATTCTGACCTGCACTGTATGTGTGCCTGTGCAGCTTTGTTATGTATTTCTAAAGTTTTACCTCCTAATGTTGCATACAATCATACAGGTTGTGTCCTATGAAACAAAAAGATCTAAAGAGCCAAGGGAAACTACTCCCCCCTAATTTTTAAACCAAACCCAAGGAACCAAGATTCATTTTTAGCTGCAAAACAATAGCAACCCTGCATTAGACTGAAGGATCTATCCAGTGCTATTAACTACCAGTAAAAGTATTGCTTAAATAATCATATAAAAAAGTAATTGTTATTTTGTCTTTCATCTATTTCAGATGCGCCTTTAGTAGATGTTTTTCCTGCCACAACCTATGTCAAAGAAGGAAACAACATCACATTGTCATGCAATACATCTGGAAAACCAGCACTTGTTAAAGCATGGACAAAAGTTGGCTCATTACAAGTTCTTTCTCACACTTCTTTGTTGTCAGTTGTCAATGTGACCAGACCTGGGAGAGTAGACAACATGATCCAGTATTGATGTACGGCCAGTAATGGAGTGGAGACACCAGCCACAGCCACAGTCAACATCACTGTCCATTGTGAGTTCCATTTTGTACTTCTGTTACCCATCAAATTTATAGTTTTTTTTTTCCATGAAGTGTTTATCATAAATTATTACTTGTACATCCAGCCAATTGAATATTACAGCTCATGTACACTTTTCTTTTTTTTTTAAGCTTAGAGATACTGTAGCACTGAAGGATAGTAGAGCTACATTATTGTAAAACTAAAATAATAAGCCACAGGAATGATTATTGGGCCAGGCACAAAGTGCTCATCCTTAAATTTCACGACAATTTTTGTTCTTACTGTTTTTTTTTTTTAAGGAAGCCTCGTTTCTCAACTGCATGATATCCATACAAGGTTGAGAGATTTCCACTTATGAATTATGAATATGACTTTTATCACAACTGGAGATTTCAGGCACTCTGAAAATACAGATAAGATTCAACAAAAGCAGTGTTTGTAGTAGTTTATTATGGTACATGTCATTGATCTGAATAGGGTATGATTTGGTCTGAAATCCAGCACATGATTTTAAAATTGAACAAGCATCCAGCACGACTTTGTTTAATATCACTACTACGATTTTGACAAAAATTGCTTGACTCACTGCATCCAGTTTTGAAATCACAGTCAATGGGTTATTTGCAGACTACATGTATTTAGTGAAATACACATAGAACTGGATTCAAACAGATGGTTTTTTGATGTATTTTTCCCTTATTATATATCGTGGTATAATTTTTATATGCTGAAGACTGTATACTTGTGGTGTTCCTCCTTTTATCTCAATAGTTCCCCCAGATATGATCATGCTCCGTACTCCATGAGGATATTTCTTGAGTTTATCTAAATTTCAATGTAGACTAGTTTAAAAAAATATTATTTGATAGAAGATTTATACTACAAAAATAGATCTGTGATTAACTTTCAAAAATGTCAGCGGTCATTCACACATGTTTCCTCTTGTTGTTACTACACTTGTACTTACAATAGTTATTCCTTACAGGTATTCACACTGTTTCTTTTAGGTACACACTTAAGAGTATTTATCTACCCAGGAGTTAATCTTGACTGAACATTTCATCCTCCATTCAAGTGCTTTTAATTACCATAATAATAGTGTACCTTATCTTATTCCTTCTTGGGTAGCACACAAGTCCATGACATAAATATAATTGATTTTCATTTCCTTAGATTTACCAAAGGCAGTAGCTCTGTTAACAACTCCAGTCAATGCTACAGTGCTATGTGATAGTGCAGTGATGCTGAAGTGTGGTGTAGATGTCAACCCTGATGCTCGTACTTACAACTTCTACTTTAATTTAATGGCAACTTTATTGGTAACAGTAGCTCTGGTGTGTTTAACATCAGTGTGAAGGAAGATGGAGAGTACGTGTGTGTTCCTGAAAATACAGTAGGCAAAGGAAGCAATGCTAGTGTCAGCATCACTGCTGTAGGTGGGTATTAAGTCAGATTATGTAGGTTGAATTAAGTGATAATAATGTTGAAATGAAAGGTTGTCAACATTTGTTTGCAGTTAAGGTTACTGGGAAGTTTGTCCTTGGCCCCTGAGATTAAAAGCAAAAATATTTAAGGATATATGTAGTAAGTGAATTTTTTCAGGCAAATTTGATATGACTCAGGTTGGATTTTATAACTTGTAGAGTTTTACAAAGGTACATAGATCAAGTCTGAAAAGAAAAACTTTCAATTTTTTTCCATAATTATCATATACACTACTGCACACAAGAAAGTCAGGAAATAGAATTAATTACAACATCAAAAGTGACAATTTTTTGTAAGAATGCTGTCAATATTTAAACTCCAAGATTCATCAAATTACTATTTCAGTAGCTTTCTAAAAGAACTGTTTGAGTTGCGCAATTATTCAGTATGTTTGTAAATAATTGAGAAACTTAAGGTTATTATTATTAGTGTGCCAGTAATACCTCTTGATCAGATAAGATGAGATAAGTACTTTATTTATTTGTGTCAGAAATACTTTGGCATAACTACTAATTGCAGACACCTCTGATCAAATGGATCAGAAAGTAGCAAGGTCATTTTTTATCCATTGTTGTCTAAAAGTATGAAATGTTTCTTTTCTCTCTGATATGATTTTAGTGGCTCCATCAGTGCATGTGTCAGTCTTGGTAATGGTTATAGAAGATGGAGGTAACATTTCATTGAGCTCTAATGTATCCGGTAAACCTAACCCCAGCATATCATGGACAGGAATTGGTGGTTTGGATGTTCTCTCTCTTTTACCATCATTAACTATTATGAATGTGACCAGACCTGGACAGCAGACAACATGATCCAGTATCAATGTATAGTCAATAATGGAGTGGGAACACCAGCTACAGCTACAGTTAATGTCATTGTTCACTGTAAGTGGAAAACTGCATTAAATGGGGCAGTTTGTAGATTTATGGAAAGAGCACTGTGGTCACAAATCTAGACCATGCCCAAAATAGGATTCTTTTTTTTCTTGTTTTTCGCTTAGTACAGATGATTAACGTACTATTAAAATTGAGCCGATTTGATCAGATTAATTTTGTTTAAGTTCTGCTGTTCTTGCCCATTATAAATCTAAAAATTCTATCTTTCTTTTATTTATCTACATCTGTGCAAAGGAATTATAAATTTAGGAAAAAATCGGTTGAAAAAGAAGATAAAACAAATAGGTCTTACAGCTGAGTAATAAACCTTCCAAAGCCATGATGAGTTGTCCGTACCGAGTACTAACATACTAACGTACTAAGCAAATTCAGAACAAGCCATGATGAGTTGTCCGTACCAAGTACTAAGGTACTAACGTACTAAGCAAATTCAAAACAAGCCGTGATGAGTTGTCCGTACAGAGTACTAAGGTACTAACGTACTAAGCAAATTCAGAACAAGCCGTTATGAGTTGTCGTACCGAGTACTAAGGTACTAATGTACTAACGTACTAAGCAAATTCAGAACAAGGCGTGATGAGTTGTCCTACCGAGTACTAAGGTACTAACGTACTAAGCAAATTCAGAAAAAGCCATGATGAGTGGTCGTACTGAGTACTAAGGTACTAATGTACTAACATACTAAGCAAATTCAGAACAAGCCGTGATGAGTTGTCGTACCGAGTATTAACTTAAAGGTACTAACGTACTAAGCAAATTCAGAACAGGCCGTGATGAGTTTTCTGTACCGAGTACTGACGTACTAAGCAAATTCATAACAAGCCGTGATGAGTTGTCTGTACCGAGTACTAAGGTACTAACGTACTAAGCAAATTCAGAACAAGCCGTGATGAGTTGTCATACAGAGTAC